GCACATGGATGTAACCTGAGCAAGGGCAGTGTTAAGACACGTGTTTGAATACTGGCAGTTACAATGTAGATGCTACTGAGTGCCTGACACTGTCTTTAGCCCAGGCCTGCCCTTCTTTTTTTTTTTTTTTCGAGACAGGGTTTCTCTGTGTAGCTTTGCGCCTTTCCTGGGACTCACTTGGTAGCCCAGGCTGGCCTCGAACTCACAGAGATCCGCCTGGCTCTGCCTCCTGAGTGCTGGGATTAAAGGCATGCACCACCACCGCCCGGCCAAGGCCTGCCCTTCTTATCTCACAGCCTATGATACACACATTAGAGGTGGTTGCTCTCTAAACACTAACCGCCTGCAACTGTCTTTAGTCCATGTCTATACTTGTTAGCTTGTGGCCATAGGATGCAGATGCTAGAGGCCTAATCTTTACCTTGAATCATTTTGAACCATCTGCAGAACTGATCATTGGCCCCTGGCAGCCTGATGCCACAAATCAACCTTTTAACCACTATGTAGTACCAACTTGTATGAAAAGACATTGTTTTACCCACAGCTGTCAAAAAGTGTGAAATTCTTGATATATGACATTTAAAAGCAATAGTATTGAAAGAGTCAATTGCAAGGTGGGTTACTATAAGAAATAAAAAAAATTAACCCCAATCCAGTCGATATTTCTAGATTAAAAAAAGAAACAGTAACACAGCTTGATGGGAGTTCTACACATGACTTTTTATGTCTTGTTTGAGAATTATCATTATTACTATCTGCTAATTTTTAAAATGCATTTTCTGAGATGGACTCTTTGCAAGGGATGTTTGATTTAATCATAATAGCAAATGTATGTAATATTATGTAATTGTATAATGTATGTAATATTAGATAGTAATATTGTTCTAAAATTATACATGGGAAGATGAAGGTCCATGCAGTTTAAATAATGTATGTAGTCCCACAGTGTTTGAAAGCCAAAGGGCTAGACTTGAACCCAGAATCTGCCTGCAGAGGTCACGCTACTATCATTGTGTCCCTCCCCAGGCTTGTCTACCACTTATTACCTAGTCAGCAGAACTTGGGAAGAAAGGAAATTTACACATTTATGAACATAATCCTATCAAGAATTTTTCTAATTCGCTTTTACAACTGGAGAAAGAAAAGATTTAAATGTCCTTCCAGTGTTCAATCTGAAGAAAAATTAAGGACGTTTCATAATGATCAGAGCACAAGGAGCAAACAGAATAAAAACAACAGACTTTACTTATTCAGATTTAGCTAGTATCTTATGCATTGCTCACTTATTTTATTTTCTTAGTTCAAATTGGTGAAGAGATTTGATACGCATATCTGAGACCCTAAGGCTATCTGGAATAGATTTTTTTTTGGACTGGTATACCTGGATGCTTCAGTCCTAACACTTATGTTTATTGTTATCACATTAGCTTCTTCATCCTTCTGAGCCACTTAACCATAGCTGTGCTTGACACAGGGGAAGCAATTCCTGTTATTAGTACTATTTTTGAATGTACATGGGTTCAGCTGCCCAGTAGCTGAATCTAACATTCCAGCTGCTAGGCAGAAAATAAGGTTGTATGAAGAAGAACAGCTGTATGAAGCATGACTTCCTCAAAGGCAGATGTACTGAAGACTGATGACAGCATGTGATACTGAGGCAAAACTGGGGTTATTTATCTGTCTCCTCCATGAATGTTGCATCTGTAGCCCTGGGATCAAGAAGGCAGCATGCATCATAGGAACAACCTAGATTTTGCTCCCCTGAAACCTCCTGGTATAGTTACCGAAAACTTGCTGAAGATCTCCTTAGAAAGTGAAGACTTTACTGTTCGACATTTTGTCAAAAACAAAATTTTAGTGTAAAGTGCTGTATTTTACTTCTATAAATAGGGTAATGTTTATATGATGTATTAGTAACATTTCCTTGTTAAAATGTGGGACTGTATAAATATTACTTGAGCAACTCTTACATGCTAGAACTTTCCAGTTTATAGTTTACAGCAAGTGAGATGGTATCTTCACCTACCAATGAGCCAGAATTTAAGATTGGTCACTTGACCGTCTTCAGTGAGCCTAGAAATTATTAAATGATTGATTTTTTTGCTTAGTTTTAGTTAATGATTTTGTTTTTAAATATCATTTGAATTGTGCTTATTTGGTAATTTAAATTGGAGAGGGTATATCTATACCCATAATCATGTTCTATCTCTAAAATAACATATTGGAATATATTTGAAAATTTGTATGTCTTGTTGGTTCTACCATCATATTTAATATGAAACTACATGTCCCCAGAGGGTATGCTGATACATGCTCATGTGCTCAGTTTATACTATATTGAAAATGGGCAAATCAGTAGTTTATTTTCATCTGTAGCCCTCAGACTTACCTCGATTTCTATCACAATACCTCTTCCACTCTACTTTCAATTTCTCTTCTTCAGATTTATGCATTAGGACAATTTCACATTTAAAACTGTCATTTCATGGAGTAGCAATGCTGGCAAAGCAGTATGTTTCCATAGACATGACAATGCTTAATTCTCACAGAAGAAGTTGGCAACATCGTCCGCATTTTATACATGAGAACACCGAGAGGGGTGAAGTCTGAAAGTAACACACAGCCTGGGGTGTATCCCTACCACATTGGCTTAAATCCAGTGTCACATGTCTAACCGTAGTGCGTCCTAATCAAACAGAATGATCAAGTCTAAAACAGACTATCCACCGTCATCGGATACTAGAAATTATTTTATTCGATACTCAAAAAGGGATTAAACTAAGAATATTGTACAAATCGTGAATGTGAGAAAAATTGCTTTATTTACGTTTCAGTCCATGCTTATAAGATAATTCTTACTTTTGCGCAACTACTCTTACGTTTAAGTTTTTGGTGTTTTTAGCTAATATTTTAGCCAAGAGAAAAATACATTGTAAAAATATGCATTTATATTCTTGTGTGTATGGATGGTATACTTACATGTATTTATATGTCTGCATGAATATTTATATATATGTATATATATATGGATGTGTATACATACAGACATACACCTACAGACTTTCAGAGATGGAGGAAAAATTGGTTTTATTTAAGGAGGCTTCTGATATTGTTTGTTTTCAAAATCATATGAAAACAAAGCTTTAATTAATATGCAAATGGTCAACAGAATCTTCCCACGATTTTATGAACTAACAGGATCAAATGTTTACCTTAGAATAAAGATATAATGATGACACTACCATAGAAACCTGCCAGTGACACAGAGCTGGGCTGAAAGGTGCTGAGGGCCCACCCTGCTCTTGTGTCTCAGGGGGCACACATTCCTGCTTCTTGTTCACCTCCAGCATTCTGCCTCATTCCTTTATCCCCCGCTCTAAAACTGATCATCTGTTCTCTGTCAGTCTTTTCCAACACTTCTTTACCTTTTTTGTTATTTCAACGTGAGTTTCACAAACATGGTCCCCGTGTTGTATTTATACTTTTTTTATTTATTGTGTTTATATTTATTGTATTTATATTTAATCAGTTTTCTGACTAGGAAAAACAAATTTCAGAAAACATAGGTGAACCTTTTCCCAGTCAGTGATAGTCAAAGATTATGTTATGTAGAGTTTATGGATAAATGTTATTATGAAAATACTTTTTCCCCACAGTGATCGACCATCACCATCAGCATCTATGACATAAAGTCTCTAGAAATAATATTTTCTTCCCTCTTCCTTCCTATACCAACTTTCTGGGAGTCCTTTGCAGACTGTGTAGAATGCCCCTGAATGGCAGACAAACTGATGAGACTCCCAAGTCTTCCCCCCTGATATTTCCACCTTCCTTAATCTCTGTAATTCAGCAAGCCCTTCATGTTGTAACCCTGAGCATAAGGAGAACAGTGGGAGAAATGGCATTCGACCACAAGACAAAGTCAAGATGGCTCCCCTTGAGTTTCAAAAAGATTTTTAATTTTCCAAGTCCTTTTTATGGTATGCAATTAGCCATAAAGGAGCAAAGTCAAGAGTTATTTTGTTATTTAGTGTAATATTTTCATTTTTCATAGCAGATCACAAAACAAAGTAAAATCAGCCTTTTTAAAAAATGTGTTATCCACATGTCACTCAATGAAATAAAACCTAGTGTTCACATTATTTTAAAATTTCACATTTTGTTGTGCCCACAGGTAGTGGATCACATTTTGGTTGCTATCGTGAAATACCCTATCTGTTAGTGATGTAAAGTGAAGAGTGGGTCAGCACAGCAGTGGCTTTTTTCCTGTATTGTTTACATAAATGTAAATGTATTTACAACACGTTCTTTTTATTTTGTTCCTGTATGTGTATTTTGGATACTAATATGTTTGGATAATAATAGACGTGTAAATTTACTGTGAATCTTCCTAATAATTCAAATTGCATTAATAATACAGTCCATTTTATGAGAAGATCTGCACACTTTGAAATTTGGTAAACCATTGCACTGTTCTTCATTCTTTATTTCCCTAAATATTTTTTGTTCACACAAAGGAGTGATATTTTTCAGAATATATTAAGGATTCTGATAGGGTCCCCAATTTCTATGCTCTTTGAGAATGAATTTTGTAGAACAAGTCTCCAAGGGTTGAGTAAGCTCTGATTGTACTCCAGTGACCAAAGATGTTTCTCCACAGAGGTTTACAGATTTTAGCCACCCTGTCTGCACAAATCAGAGGCCCCTCAGAATCATGCACTTTTTCCGGTAAGGGAACTATTGTCAGTAGTGACTGTGTTTGTCATAGTTGGAATCATTTGAAATAATGATGAAAGTTGTGTTAAAAATATTGCAAAACAATAGAAGAAAAATATACATATTTTTTAATAAGTTGGCAATGTGAACATGAAGGTCCTGGAGAATTCAGTGATATGTTTGGTATAGTGAGTGCTAACTAGTAAGCAATAGTTACTATTTACTTGTCCTGAGATGACAGCTTTATCATAAGGTACTCATTATATTTTCTTCTTCCTTTCCAGGTAACCCATTAACCACACATAAATCAAGCAATCCTCAAGGAGGTTCATGGAGACACACGCATAGAACCTTTACTCCTGTGGTGATCTTGAAGATTTTTATACCTCTTAGAAGAGGGGCTTTTAAGCCTGTTCCCAAGGGATTCCATGACTTGTTATCAGCTTCCTATTGAAACTAAGACTTTGCAAAAGTCTGATGTGAACTTCCTGTCCTGAAGACTTCGTCAGATGTGAACTGCTCTTGGCTCGTTACACTTCTGAGGGAAGCGGACAGTGCTCTCCGTGAAGCTGGTGCAGAGCTGGTGTTTTGGGGGTGACACCAGAGACTGCCACCTGTAGGGTTCCTGGCTTCAGCTGTGACTGTTCTTGTTTCTGAAGCTGTCTCCCAAGTCCACTGTCCTGTCATGGATATGTTCCTGGGTCCTTTGTTCATTGTCTAGTAGGACTGTACACAGCTTGGATGACGTTTCCTTTGCGAACTCCTCTGGCATGGCGTAGACTGAGACAATTTTATTGGTATTCTAATCTTGAAACTCTGAAAGCCTACATGTTTTAACATCTTACTCTTGCCTTTGTGAAAGGAATGGAAGCATTTCTCCATTGATAATGGTAATCATTGGCAAGTCACCATGATCTGAATACATCAGTCATATAAGAATGTATAGACATGCTGACATGTTTCCCCAAGGCTAACCCATGACTGCCACTCTCTGTCATTTAAACAGACAGCAGTTAGGATTGGATTCCCATTCCCATTGCACAGTACTCCGTACCTCCAGCACACTTTCCCATCCAGTTCTTTTTTTTTTTTAAATGTACTTTCTTTTTAATGTTTCCCTTTTCTTTCCTTTACAGAAATCATCAGTGTGTAGTCAAGTTAGTAGGTAGCCTTCCATTAAAAAAAAAAAATGCCAGGGATGCATGTGCTTTTCTGACTTCTCATCACTTATTTTTATTCTAGCATTTTCTTAAACCATCCTTTCTGTCTCATTTTAACATTGTCTCTCTTGCTTGATTCCAATGACTGCTTGAATGCTTATATATTTGTTCAGTCTGTGAGTAGAAAAAAATTGTTCATTTTCCTTGACCTCAAAGGTCTAAAATACTTGCTTACCATTTTTTCCATTCAAATGATTTCTTAGGCCAGTTTTTTTTGTCCATATTTTCTTAGCTATCTGAAACTTGTGATTTTTAGTTCTTCAGGAGCGTCTTACAAATATTTAAAGGCCTTAAACATTGATTTACTTTTTTCTAAGTTGTTACAGAATGTATAATTTTATACTGCATTTATTTTGTTTCACTTGTGATGTGGAAAGAGAGAATAGTGGATACCAACAAGTAATAATACCATGTAAACCTGTAGTTTGAAGGAATGTAAAGGCAAGGATTTTCCATGTCTTAATGATTTCAGCTTGATCAAAAGATGCTTCACAGATCATCCTTTTAGATGGTCCATAATTTTGGTAGAAGTGTGAAGGTATTTGGACTTCTTGTACTTCTAAAACTCACTGACAAGGCCAGTTAACCTTATGTTGGTTTCTGTGATGGAGGCTTACATGTTATAGAGAATTTGGTGTTAGGCTGTAACAGTATTGAAAGATTCATACATTAACCAGACCCTTTACTGGGAAGAACAACTGAAAGTGTAAAATCTGTTAAAAATTAAATTGGAAACCTATATTTTTAAATACTGAGCTGAAGTCAACTGCCTCATAAATACGTGGAATGAAATGATTCCTGCGTCCCTTTTAATTGAACATAAAACCAATTGGGTGGTTCCAAGTCGGTTGTGCAATGGGTCAAGACTACACAGAGTCAAAATGAAAGGAATAATAGTTGTGCTGGATTTTCTATGTTGAATAACATATCATTAATTTCTTTGCACAAAATGAAAAACTATGTCATTTTGAACATTATGAATTTATCCTGGGTTTGTTTGAAACTATGGGTCATGCTTCTCATTTTGAAAACTTTGTCATTTAAAACAGCGCTGGAAATTCTGTATTATATAAAAGTGTAATACATGCGTATCAATAGAAAAAATAAATGGAATTTCAAATATATGAACTAGATTATTCCCAGTAGATTAATGTTGTGACTATTCAGAAAAAGTGAATAAAATTGGAATATAAAATTGACTCACTTTCATAAGTACAGTTTGGAGAATCTGGTTTCTTGTATTCTATTTTAAAAGTACCTTAATTAGTGACCAATACCATTTCAAATTTAGAAATACACTGACAAATTCTTTAATCCTCTTTTAATAAAGTTCTGTGCTAAACTCTCAGTTTACATAAGGTTCCAATATTTGACCTGCTTCTTAAAAATCCATGAAATCAATACATTGGTGCTTGTGATGCTCATCTGCAAATCAACTGTGAACACAGATGCAAAATTCATCTCATAATGAAAGCTGTAAGCATAGTTTACCTTAGAAAATGCATTAGAGTAGAGCTAGCCATCAATATCATGTCTTGCATACCTTTGAAAATGCCTTTTTTTCTGACCCTGTTTAAAACTCACAAGAAGCTACAGAAGGTAGCATAGGAGTCCCTTTGCCCTTTTCTCATCTTTCCCCCAGTGATAACATCTTTCAAAATTGTAATACATTGTCCAAACACAGAAGTTCACTTTGGTGTAGTACTATGAGCTGCAAAGGAAGTTTATTCACACTTTTGGTCAGTTTTCACATGAACCGTGCATGTGTACTTTCATCTCTTTAAAATGTACTAGTGCTCTGTTACTGTAGGATACTGGAATATGCATTAGATGGGAAGGTGAGTATATAGGCCAACAAGTGACTGGTTGTGACAATTCTGAAGTTCCTACTTTTAGAATAATGTAACTATATTTTACTTTTTTGTAAATTTTTTGTTGTTTTGTGACAAAAAGGAAATTTACTTTTAACTCCAGATGGAACCATAAATTATTTTAAATTTGTTATTATTTTTAATATGTAGTAAGAGGTCTGAGAACTATGGTTGAAATGAAAAAGCCCTTTTCCTTCCTGGGATTTGCTTCCCTTACTAAATGTGAATATGACACACTGTGGTTCAATTAATTTGTGTTTGTATATATCCCAGTACCCATGCACAATGAATATAAACTGATGAAAATTTTAGTGCACATTTACATTTATATGTGAAGAAAAAAGATAAATGCCAAAAAAATCAAGTGGTATGTTTTTCATCATTCAGCCTGTCTTGTTTTGAGTAAGTAACTTCTGAAGGGAATTAAGATGATACTGGACACTCTGGGTAAAGCACTGGGAAGTCAGGAGAGACATACATTGCACACTAGGAATTTTCTTGTCCTCACCTACCTAGATACCATGACAGAACATTATTATTTTTATTAAGGTAAAGACCTTCCTTTTGTTTATCCCTCTATATCCCCCAACTCCCTCCTTTCTTCTTTTATTTTGTATGATATACAAAATATAATACAAATTTAATTGAATACTTTAGGGAATATCTATCATCTATCTATCTATCTATCTATCTATCTATCTATCTATCTATCTATCTATCTATCTATCTATCTACCATAGCTAGCTATGTCTTGATTTGCACTCTGCAGGAATGTGAACCAGTATGGTTATCCATCATTTAACTGACAGCTATTGAATCCCTACTAAGCACAAGCATATTTGGCCAGCTTAATATTTTAGATTAGTTGGACTCTATCCTTGAGAATGGCCTTTCAAATCAGGTCAACACAAGTTTTCTGGATGCTGTTCCTGTGCATATAACTATGCTATGTGTTGGGAAAAGTGGATAAACAGGTTCATCAGTGTTTCATATTTGTTTTAATTTGTTCAATTTTTTTTCTTCAGGATGTTTAAGTATACTAAATGGGTGCTTTGAACATTTTTCTAGAAGGTCCTATCTAGTCTGCAAAACAAATTTAATTTGGGAACTCACATGAACAAGGCAAAAAGTTGTGTTTGTAAAGTTGTGTTTTACAAATCTTGACAAAATATGCTTGAAACTCTCAAGGGGGACAGATTGTGAACATGGAGAGATATTGAAGAATAAAGACAGCTGTGAAGACTGAAGTAGGACTATAGTACTGGGGAGGATATGAATCATTGGGTCCCCATCCTAGTTCGCATTAAATTACGCAAAGAAATCCTAAAATGTGCCCATGTCCATTCCTGCTTTCCGCGGGCATTTTAATCGGTCCAACATTGACATCTAGGTATTTTATAAAAACTCCTCTGTTTATGTCAACGTGTATCCCATCAAGATGGGCATGATGAGATGGGTAACATGACTGCACAGGGGAAAGGAAGATGAGGCCAAGAACTCCAGAAGGTCCTGAGCTTGCCAAAGCGGGATAACACCGGTTCAGTTAAACATGAGAGAAACGTTGAAGGAAGCACAGGGTACACAGCAGGGGGTGAGAACAGACGAGTTCACTGTTTAAAGACTCCCTGAGGCTACAATGCCAGCAAAGCATCCAGAGAGGCCATGTTGTGTGAGAACTGAAGAGTTCAATTGCATTCATAATTAGAAATTATCGTTGGGCGTTGGACCGAGCAGCTTCACTCAAGTGTTCATTGCAAAACGGAGATGTCAGTGGGTTGAAGAATAAGAGATGGACTCGAGAGTAGAAACAGTAGAAAAAGACGCGCTGACGTCTCTTTCAACAGGAAGGGAAACAGAAAAGACAGTGATTCAGTCAAAGCACCATCAAAAGAGATGTTCTTTTTACTGACGTGTGAGAAGAGTATGACCATATATGCCACAAAGAACGGAGGAGGGAGGAAGTAGGGAGGTAGACACAGAATCTGAGTGTAGAAAAAAGAAATTGATGAAGGAAAGGGTGTCTGCCCACACTGTATGAATAACAAGAAGGATCAAATTCTGTAGATCATCCCCTAGGACTAGAAGAGCGAAAAGGGACTTGGATTAGCTTTTTAAGGATCTTCAATGTAGTAGTGACTATGCTAATGTAGATTACAGTCAAAGCACATCCAATGAGCAATGACCAATGGCTGGTGAAGCCAAGTAGAAATTTTAAAATGGGCTTTATTATTTTTTATCTTATGTGCATCAATGTTTGCAGCATGTATGAAAGGGCATCATGTATGGGTAGGATGGTACATCCATGTCTTTATAAAGGAGCATCATCTGCTGACTACAAGAAATGGAGCGTCCAAGGAGAATGGAAAACATTTGTAACAGATTTAGTGTTTCTTGACATTGAGAGTTGCAAGGTCAAAGCAGAATCCTCAGCATCTAATTGGAAGCAGTGTGTTATTCTCTGTCAGGATACTCTCTACAGTCTGGATAAAGGAAAGTGAAGAGCTGGAATGATCTTTCAGTGAGGATGGGCAAGACTTTAAAATTATAGTGACTAGCCAAGCATACTAGCACAGTCTTTAGCCCCAGCACTAATGAGGCAGAGGTAGGCAAATTTCTGTGAGTTCAAGGCCATCCTGGTTTATATATTGAGTTCCAGGATAACCAGGGCTACATAGTGAGATCCTGTCTCAAAAAAATAAACAGAAACAAAGTTCAAGATCTTCCTTAGCTATATGCTGAGGCCAACTGGTACATGAGACCTTGTCATACACACACACACACACACACACACACACATACACACACACACACACATACACACACACACACATACACACACACACACACACACACACACACACACACACACATAAAAGATAACTACCTTCTCTTTAGCACTTGATTCATCCCATGAGTTCTACCTAAGAATGTAACATGGGTCATTTACTTAAATCCTGCTAGAGATAGGTGTTGTATTGCCACTTTGTAAGGACACAGGAACTCAGAAAGGTTTAGCAATTTCTCTAGTATCATACTGAGTGGCAAAGCCAGGATTTTAAACAGTGTTGGAGTAAAAGTGTGCACAGTGAGGCTTCAGAAGATTCTGGGCATGTAAAATGATGCTCATAAATCCAGGAAAGGCCTAGAGAGACTAGCAATGGGTATTGGAGTGGAGAGACAGGCTCAGAGGTCCCTCATTTATTCACTAGTAGCTATTTTTGTACACCTTTGTGCCGAGAGCTGTGCGAGACATAATGCATAAAATTAAAGTGGTAAGTCTCACTTTCCTTTGAATAATGCCTCTCCTGGAAAGGGTCATTAATGAATTTATATCAATATGCTGTAAGAATCTTCACAAGTTGTATTTAATGTTAAATTTTTATGGTCATATTGCAGAGAGAACTGGCTAAAAACAGAACCAGGGAGTCCCCCAAATGAGGAAAACAGTCATCCCCAAAAGAAGCCCTTCTGCTTTGATTGCAGTTGATCATATTAGTAACTAAGGACATCAGCAATGCCTTAACGTTTTACAGAGATGATTAATAAGACATCCGTATTCTATTTCATGAGATTCTATTTGGGATTCAGTTTACCGGGAGGATTTCTGTCTTTGAATCCACTCACACTGTGTCATCCAGAGATTTGCTGGGGTCTGTATCGGTTATCCACTCCTTTGTAGCCCTTATCCAAGCACAGTGGTATAAGGCCCGTTTGTTATTGCTCCCAGGTCTACCAGCCGGCCGAGTGGTTCTACGAATCTTGGTGACCTCCTGTCTGTGTCGGCTGGCAGCTGTGGCCGACAGGGCAGTTTCAGAGGGTTTGTTCTCCTCTCACTGATGTCACTGCTTGTTTATTTGCTTTTTACCTAATTTCTGCAGTCCTGGTCCTTTCCTCTCAGTAATCCCATTGTGTGTTAGGGACTGGCCTATGACCGGCAGTATCGGAGCACCCGAGTGATCTAACACAGACCACCTAGGAGCTCACTTCCCTGAAACTGAGTTTGCTTCCTGTTGCTTGGCTAACCCACTCACCCCATTTGGAAATGCTGAATATCAGCTGTGAGGGAAGAGCCTGGCAAACAGATCACGACGGTGACTGCAGGGCAACAGTCACTTTAATTCCCCCTCCCCCTATCTGCTAGTTAGATTTCTTACACGGTGCATCAAAAGTGTCACAGCTAAACAATCAGGGACATTAAATGGCTCCTTGTCATTTCCGTGCCGAACAGTGTCAGCAGTGTTTGCTGGTAAGCTCGTGGCAAACAGTACGGGTTAGGAAGCACAACCCAATTACCATTTAGTGGTTGTGTGTTGTGGAGCACACAAACA